AGGAGTTCTTTCTTTGTTACGCAATAATTTCTTTCTGTCTTCGTTAATGAGCGGCTTGCATAAGCTATGACCCTTTCCTCATCTCCTTGTATCTGCGACAGCACGGCTCCTACTGCAGTCTCACTTGCATCTGTGTCCAAAATGAATTGTTTCTCAAAATCTGGGAATGCCAATATTGGAGTTTGTGTGAGCTTACTCTTTAAGGTATCAAACGATTCTTGGCACTGTGTAGTCCATACAAACGATTTGCTCTTTTCTGTTAGTTTGTGTAGTGGTTTTGCAATGGATGCAAAATCTTTAATAAATCGTCTGTAATAGCTACAGAGGCCCAAAAGTGATCTTACTTCTGTTGCATTACTTGGCTCACTCCAATTCCTAATTGCTTCTGTCTTCTTGGGATCTGTTGAGACACCTTCTTCTGATATTACATGTCCTAGGTAATCAACTTTGTTTGAGAACAGCCAGCATTTTGATGCTTTCAGTTTGAGACCAGCATTTCTCAATCGCTCAAACACGGCTTCTAAATTGGTTACCATTTAGTCAAACGTTTTGGCTATGACAATAATGTCATCCAGGTACACTAAGCAAATGTCCCATTGTAGACCGTTGAGTATGGTTTCTATAAGTCTTTCGAACGTCGCTGGGGCATTGCATAGCCCGAATGGCATTACTTTGAATTGAAAAAGTCCTCGTTTGGTCGTGAAGGCTGTTTCTGGCTTATCTGCTGGAGCCATCTCCACTTGCCAATATCCAGAGCACATATCCAATGGTGAGAACAAACGAGCTCCAGATAAATGGTCAAGGGACTCGTCAATACGTGGAAGTAGATATGAGTCTTTTATAGTAGCAGCATTGAGCTTTCTGTAATCTATACAGAAACGCGTACTGCCATCTTTCTTTTTCACAAGTACTATTCCAGCTGCCCAAGGACTCGTTGATGGCTCAATTACTCCTTTTTGTAACATCTCATCTATATGTTTGACTACTTCCTCACGCATATGGACAGGTATTCTGCGCAATGGTTCTTTAAAAGGCACTGCATTTCCTGTAATTATTTTATGCTTTATGATGTCTGTTCTACCAAAGTCCTTGCTATCAGCAGCAAAGAGAGATGAATGTTTCTGAAGCAATGATCGGAGTTTCATCTTCTGCTTTTTACTAAGATTTTTGCTTGATCTCTCAAACAGATCTTCCAGTACAAGATTGAGCTGATTCACGTCTGTGGAATTCGTATCCTGCGTATTTTCCATGACGTGCTCAACTGGGCTCAGAGTGGCAACTACTGTTCCCTTGTGTAGAACTTTTACATCTGATGTCAAATTCATGATTCTAATTGGGATGCCATTTTCCACATTGGCAAGCACTTTTCCTACTAAAGCTCGGTCCGATTTAATGAATGTTTCATCTGGCTCAATTAGTCCAATGCCTCTAGGTGTCGTTTCCTTTTCTTTGAGACAAATATCACCAGAAATGATGACTTCAGTTCTTGGAGGAACGCTCAAGGTATTCGCTACTGCTATCTTGTAACAACCGACAACCCCTTCTGAAATCAATGGCACTTCATTTCCTCTTATTCGTATTCTTCTCTTTGTCAAGTCTATGGTACAATTATTCTCATTCATGAAATCCAGTCCTAATACACCATCTACTGACATTTTGCTACAGCTACAGTGTTCTTGTATGATCTATCTCCGATGTGAAAATTCAACATTGAAAGTCCTTTCTCAATTTTGCTCCAATTTCCAAGCATTGCACAGGCATCAAAGTGAGATTTATAATCCTGCCATGAGCTGGTTCCATCGTATGTTGCGGGTTTTATATTTGGTCTACTTCCACCAAACATGGGTTGTTTAGATCCTATTTGATCTGTCGTCTCAAATTTACGCTCTGCTCTTGAACGATACACTGGATCATCGTGTGCTTTATTTTCTCTTTTAACGTACTCTGTCGGTCTCTTCCGACAAGTGATACCTGGCTCATACTCATCTGAATCCATTTTCCATCGAAATCTGCGCTCATCTTTTTCTTCCCGAATAGGTGTTTGCTCAGTTTCTCTCCGTAAATATGGTCTCAAATCAAGCTTCTTATCAAGAGTTTTCTCAGCGTTTGACTTTGGTTTAGCAGCAGGTGTTTCAAATATTTTCTCTTCTTTCGTTTCGTTTTTCTCATCATAGTACAAAGGAATTTGATGCTTATCAATTCTAAATTCTGAAAGCCTTTTTGTCTCAAATCCAGAGTCTGTGGTTTTCTGCTCACTCAGTTTGGTCGTAGAATGGTCCAGACGCGACCGCTTCAATATTTCGCTTTCAAGTTCAAATTTGTCTATTTGAGAATCCAATTCAGCCATTGTTCTCTCAAACGATGATTTATCTTCACTCGCCATGATTTTTCTTTTTCGTCTCAGAGCTGTCCCAATCTTCTCAACACCGTCTCAAAATTTCTCAATTTGGCTCAGTTGTAGACTTTTCTCAAGATTTCTCAATGTTTGGTTATGTATCCCACCAAAGCTGTGTAACCGAGCGGATGTTACAATAATAAAAATAATAATACAAAATAATCAAAAATATATACAAAAATATTAACTCTCAATTTAGACTGAGCTACTTGCTCAAAAAGTGATTCGTGGGAAAGCTCAGATAACTTCTGAGAACCTAACAAAGAGAAATTATATACAACAAAAATAAACTATGGGACGGGGTAAAAATCAAAATCTCAATCTAGCTCTATTTTACAGAACAGTCTCAAATGCGTCTCAACTGTTGGCTTACTTAATAACTAAGTGTTACTTTAATTACTTAAAGCTTAACTTTAGTAAGAGAGGGAAGGAAAGACTTGTTCAGTCACGTCTAATCCCTGTCTTACCTTATCCTAAGTTTACTTCAACAGCTGCTGACTTTGACTGCGAATGCGACGGAATGAATGTGTCCTACCACTGAGAAGACATCGCTTTTATACCTTCCTAATTATCACACTGAATTCTCATTGGCTGAAGACTAAACTTATCTTCTCTTCACTGGAGAGTTCCTACTTACATACAAGAGTTATCTCTGATCATCACAAAAGCATCACAAAAGCAAATAATAATGAAATTGATTCGTCCGTGTAATCATTAAATAAAAGCAAAAATTGAAGAAATACACGAAATAATAGTGTTAAGCATTTTTTTTTACATAAATTCACGCTTCAGTTGAATAACTGAGTGAATCAATAAGACAAGAGACCATTGGACTCAAACAGTCAACCTCATTAATTATTACAGATGTATAAACAAGAGGGAGATAAATCTTCTCAAAGTCAAATGAAAAATTCACATTAAATAGTCCTTCCATTACAACTGAATTCCTGTACGTGGCCCTGAGTGCCGAGTAAAGGTCTGAATTCGAAGTCCTTCACCGTTTTTTGTTTATGTATCTTTATGAGTGAGAAATATATTCTTCAATTAGACGTGAAAAATGTTCAATCAATTTATCAATCAAATTAGAATACATATCCAATTTATAAAACCTTATTAAGATATAAGTTTTGTTTTGTTATTTGATTTTTCGTAGTTGAAATACACACAAAAGTTCTTATAAGTAGCAATGATACGATTACGTTAGAAAGGCTCACTATCAGAGGGAAGAGAACTGAAAGCCTTTTCAATCTTGTCATTGGTTTATAATATCATAATGTAAGGGATTGTATGTAGGAAAAAATATGTTTATGACGGAAAATAGATTTCTCTTTATCAGAAAATAATGCATAAATAGAATTTAAAAAAAAAAAATAAAAAATGGACATACATTTATTGAATTATGTTAAGACGATTTTTTTTTATAATTTGTTTTGCATTTTTATATAGTGAGGGTATCTCCTTGTGTAAATATTTAAACTTACAACAAACTGTTTTTAATTAATCAATTTTCAATATTAACAGAAAAACTTAATTCTTTCAATTAATAACTTTAAGAAAATATTAAAATAAAAACACAAAACAAAAACTATACACATAGGTTGCGATGGTGATTCTCGTTTTTTTTTTTAACATGTTGTATAACTGTTTATTTAGAATGTAAAATTTCATCTAAAGGAGTATATGTAGCCTTTCCTTACTTTTTTTTCTTGCTATTCAGTCAATCTTTCAAATGAATCCAAGAATATAATTTTGCTGCAATGGGAATTTGAACACACATACCCTTTTCCCCTATACTTGTTTTGAAGTAGATTATATCATTCATGATCTGAATTGAAGTTATTCAAACACCTTTCTTTTTAGTACTTGATTTTTCTTTGAAAATAGATACTACATGCCTATCAAAATTAAAGTAATGCAATAGATAATAGATATGTGTCTATAAACAGGGCAGTGTCCTCAGCGTCTGTGGGTTTTCAAATGTGGCTTTTTTCTCAAAATCCAAATCTGTAGAATTTGAACAAATAAACAAATCAAGAATGATATTTTCAAGAAATATAAAGATTAAAAACATATATTTCATCATTCAGAAACGATATAAGATTTTAAAAATCTAGAATAAAAGACCCCAAATGTAAAATTGCAAATGTGTATCACTACGATGCGAATAATATTGATTGATTGATTGATTGATTGTATACTGTTTAACGTCCCACTCCAGAATACTTCACTGATATGGAGACGTCACCATTGCCGGTGAAGGACTGCAAATTTAGGCCTATGCTCGGCACTTAATGGCCTTTGAGCACGGAGGGATCTTTAACGTGCCACACCTTCTTTGACACGGGGCCTCTGTTTATACTGTCTCATCCGAAGGACCGCCCAAATAAGTCGCCTTTTATGACAAGCTAGGGGGTACTGAGGACCTATTCTTACCCGGGTCCCCAAAAGGCTGATGCAAATAATATATGCATAAATAATGAATTAATATATGCATAAATGATAATTTAAGTGAGGATATTTGGAGAGTTAATATCGGATAAATAGGTATCTTTGAATAATATATCTGTATATACGGTACGTATCAATAATAATGACTGGCGATTACCTAATAACGTCGGATCAGCATCATCGTCTCTACAACTGATGTACCAATATTTATTGGATCCCAAGGATCGCCCCAGTCTCCCGGGGACCACTGACCGTTCAGGAAGGCCAGGTGACATACATTGAACCACCAGCCTCCTCTTACGTTACTGATAGTAGCACAGTTACCCCCAGTCCATTTATCATTATCTCTATCTGGGGTACTGAAGTACATCCCAAGCAGGTTCGCCCAAGAATAACCAGTATTTAGCATACTGTCACCTGTAGAATAAAAAAAATAATTGAGAGTATGACATAAGGTTTCATAAATATAATAATCAACGTATATACAATGTTATTTGATACAAAGTATAAAGGAATTTTCTTTGGTTGTAAATGTGCACTAAAACATTTTATTTCCCTTATCACGTAGAAAAGACAATATTTTTTCCCTAAAATAATAAAGATTTATTTAAGCTGAAATATAAGGATCTGACTGAAAACCATGCTTCCAAAGTTTATTTAGTGAACGGGCGCTGTGACCAGGTAAGCCAAAGTAAAAGACAATACCAGAACATGCCAGATTTTGAAACGTAAAAAAAACACAGCATTGTCATAATAAAATTTTCAAATTTCAGAAATTGGAATAACATGTGTTTATGTAGTTGTTAATCACATCTGATATTTTTTTAACATTGATTAATATCGGTGTCTGTAATTACTGTGACCTGTTTTTCCTCTCTTTCTCGTATTTGAGGTAAACATTCCACTTTTCACTCACCTAAAGTTCCCGTGGTTGGTCCTGCCAGAAATAGTTGATACTTGTCTGCCTCATCCGAAATGGAGAATTGATTGTATAACTGGTACAGCGCTGTGCCATTCGATAACGTAATGGAAACGTAGAGGGAGGAGTTCTTTCCCTTTGTCAACAGATGGATGACGTCATTTCCTTATCATTGTATATACGAAATTCATTGATAAGTGTTTTGAAGTACCATGGTACAAATATGTTTCCATATTGTAAATAAATATATCCCCCGAAAAATCAAATAATCTGATGCCTGATGTACTTAAACGTATTGAATCTATAACTTATCCTCTAGTAGCTGTGGTATTTGATTGAACTCTTTTTATTCTATTCTGTATTGTCATGTCAATATTCTTTCTTTGTGCAGCTCTAATTTTTTTTAAACTAGGATTGAAAGGAATGGAATTTTGTCTTAAGATAAGATCATTTATTTCTGGCAAATTTGAAATAACAATACAATTGTAATTTTTTTTTATTGAATATGAAGCGTTCAATGTATCATATTCACCTATCCAGACATTTTGTTCAGGCGCACCAAAACCATTTTTATAGTCATCCCAATTCTTATCAAAGGTCAGGGACCCATCTATTCGTTTTTGAATGGCATTGAAAAGATAAAGACATATAATTAAATAAGTTAGTAGTTATTATGATATTCTTATTATATCTGCAATAAACATAACTTATCAGTTATGCCACAAATCCTTTCGACAACAAAATAAATGACTCCAGTTAACCTGGTATAAATTGTTTCTAAATAAACTACGTACTGTCCATCCTCCATCCAATGTATCCATGTCACAATAAACTCGGATAGGAGGCAAGGTGGTCCCAAAGGGGTAGATTTCATACACACCTGTATTAGTGTGACCATTATCACGAAAATCCTTACAGTCAATAGGAAGGACTGAAACAGAAGAAAAAAGAATCAAAGGACTGACATTGTAGGAACATATAAATAGGTCGATAAACAGCTGAAAGATAAATTAAAACTGCTGAAAAAGGATTTTGAACTACAGTTTACAAGCATTAAAGTTTAAAGCTTTATATTTATATTAAAAATTGGGGTTAAAAACTTTGCATTTATAATTCCTAATTTTTTTATAAAAAGAATATATTAAACTTTATACATATACATGTAAGCAATTTCAGTGCTGATTTTCTTTAATAAATTTCACTTGTATTGCTATTTTTTTTGTTGTCGATTTAAACGATATAATAGTACTTTATTTTGATCATTGAAAAAAAAAATTCTTTCGTATTTGTATTTAATTATTAACGTTTTTTTTTTTGTTTTTTTTTTATAAATCTCAGATGATATATATATAAATAAAAAAAAAATTGCTTTCCCTATGCAGAACAATGATTTTAAAAAAAAACAACAACAACATTCATGCCAATATAGCGTCTCCAAAAATAGATTATATAGACTATATGCACTTAAGTGAAGCCCTTGGGAAGTGCACTTAATAACAATACGGAAAACAATAATCGAAGAGATCTAAATATTGACACAATGTAAACACTTTAATTTTAATTTCAAAGATAAACATGTCAAGATCTCAAACAATAGTATTTCTTATACAAAATGAAATCATTATTCTGATGCAAACACTTGCATTTTATAAGTAAATATAAGCTATTTAAATTGGTCAAGCTTTTTCTAACTCTATCATCGAATTTTCCAGTCTTTTTCGATAATAATAAATCAAAGAACAAAGATAAATATAACCTTAAACACAACAGCACCTGCTACGGTAGAATTTTTCCTCTCTTTTGAAAAGTAAATTTATTCAAAGTGCGTACGAGTACTGTTCCGTATAAATAATGTCCTCGGTGCTAAGAAAGAAGCAAACGACGCTTTTCAATGATTTATTCTGCATGATTTTACTTATTTATCTCTTTTAAGTCAAACACATGTCTGTAACATTTTTATCCAATTTCTGATTGTTTTTAGAATTCATTTTTGAGTATGACCCTTTGGATACTGGAAAATGATAGATCCAATGATTTTCTGGACTTGTTTCTTCCTTCTGAAAGGTGTTTTTTTTTTAAGTTTGGAAAAAGAAACAAATCAAAAGGTCAAAGATCTGACAAATATTGTTAACGTGAAAAAAACATTAAGTTTCTGTTTATCTCGAAAACCCCTTTATTCTTCAGGGCATGCGGTTGAACGCTGTCATGAAGAAATTTAATGTAGTGGATTCCTTATTCTGGGATCTTGCTCAAATAAACCTTTCGATCTTTTTGCAAAAAAAATTGCTTTCTAGACTCCACCAGATATTAACATCTCTCTCAGAATAGAATTTGAACAATACCACGAATATTTAGGAAAATTGCATATAAATCTGTCTTTGTGCTCTTGCATACCTTTGATTTTGTCAAACCTTCGAAGTTTTTATCAGGTACATCTTATGGTAAATTTTGTTTTGATGATTTTAAGCAATTGATTCATGTTCCAATATCTGTTTAAATATAAAACAAACATGGATAACTACAATTACAGATATTTTAAAGTAATTGTTAAGACGTTCGTACACGCTGTCGTTTTCACCCATTTTTCAAAACATAGGGTGACCTTTGAGTACCAAGCTTTTTTACTGTCAAACGTTTCTTAAAAGCACTGTAAATTTATCCCGATATGATGTCTATAAAATTTGCTATGTGTCTAAAAGTCAATCATACATCATCAATTATCATTTATCGAAATCTGGCAAATAGTACATAAGTTGTTATAATTTTTGTTGTCAAGGGGGGTACCCCTTTTTAATGCCTATTATGTAAATTTTTATCATTGAAATCCAACTGCTCATTTGTTTATAAAACAAGCATCGGTTGCTGTAAATGTCACATATTTCAGTGAATATTTCTTTGGGAATTTTAACAAGTTTTTTAGCAGCTTTAATGTAGCCTTTATTTTCACTCTAGTTTACTTATTCTTTACCATTCATTCATAATGTAGTGTCTCGAATTGCCCTCGTTTCCCAGCTTCTCACGATGAAACTATGTGATGAAAAGTGGTCACATAAACTGTTATAAATTCAGTAAAGATTCAATAATGAGAGAAAGTCAAGTTTAATGTCATATGTTAGCTGTATTGTATGTCACATAGTTCAGGACAGTATTTATTGAACATACACATTAATATCTTTCGACAAATCAGTCAGGTTCCTGTAAGGGATTCCCAAACATGTAAAAAAAAAAACAAACTTAAAGATCACTCTAGATCTGTCAATTTTGAACTACGCAGCGACAAGAGAAAAAATGTTTTAAATGAGTAAGAAAAATCGACATAATATCTATTCTCAATTTCAATATGTATTATAATCGGAAATTGCTACAATCATTGATTTCCTTGATGAACAGTAAGGGAATAATTCACATTATTGATCTCTTGTATCTTCATGATTGAGATTTTTACCCATATGTTTTACTTAAGATTTTAGAGACGAATTTTAAAAAAATAGAGCGGTAAAGGAATCCGAAGCTATTTCTAATATTACAGCCACTTCTTAGAAAAAGTACATTTCTAAAATATCGAATTAATTTCAAACTGCAATGTTGTATTTTTTTTCAAAATGATACGACCGTTTAAAGTTGAAAAGGAAACATGTCATTTACAGTTTTGTCTCCCTTAGATTAAATTTTTTTCTTTTTCTTTTAATACGAAAATTTTATGCCATATGACTTTCGAATTCCAATCACTGCTAATTTAAAAAGACCAAAGAGAAAGTATCGGTAATACACATGCGAATCAAAAAAATATTCAACTATAATTAAAATAATGAAAGTAAGAATGTCGTTAAAAAATCATTTTTGATCAGAAACACAACCCGAGACAAGACGCAAAAGAAGTGTTTTTGAATTTAAGAAGGGAAACTTGTATGATTTAGATATTGATAAACCTCTTAGTCCTGTAAAAAGCTTTAATAATAATAATAATAATAATAATAACCAATACAGCATATTTTGTTTTTTTATATATAAAATGTGTGAAAAAAAGGAAAACATACAATCATTGTAGAAATATCTCCAGCCAGCCTCTTCAATCACGTTAGATGTAAAGATTGTCTTATGGGTCCGGCACTTCTTCATCACAGGATTGTATCCAAACACGCTACACTCCTTTTGACACATGACAGCACACGTAATCTTTGAGTGCACTTCTTCCTCTCCCAAGAGTTCGTCATTTGACTTTTTATTATTTAAGTCCAGGTCAGCAGTGTATATTCGGGAAAAAATGGTAGCTTGAGACATGGTGAAGAAGAAAACAATTAAATACAAACCCTGAAGATTGCCCATGTTTTTCTTTGCGTTCACGAAAAAGAACATCCAAGTCCCTAGAGGAAACTGCATATTGACATGATAGCTACCAAATTTAAATATTACAGCTTCGAGGTTTAGCAAACTTTGATTGGCTGTTCTTTAAGATTTTAATATTTTGCTTAAGCTGCAATATTGATTTTATGACTGATAAGCATTCGAACTTAAGCATGCACATTGAAATCTTGAAACAACTGTTAAAATTCTTTATTGAATACTTTTTATGATCAGAAAATGTATGTGTTTAACCTTTTTTCTGTGTCTATTTTCGTATTTTTTAAGCAAACAACTTCAATGGATTAGGAAAAAATAAGACAATGTCTACATTTATTTTAATTCGATATAGTAAAAAAAACAAAAACTGAAATACAAAAAAGAAGAAATATGCCTTTGTTTTCATGTTGATGATTATCAGTTATAATTTCAATATGATTTCGTAAGTGGTCGACGTGTTCCACACATTCAATTTGTACTTCCAATGTTTTATTTATAACTCATTGATGAGTTGAAAGTTATCATAGTATAAAAATAGTTTTAAAAAGCATCAGTCATATATTTGATAAGTATTTTTTAACTCTCATAGCAATGTGAATACGGGTTGGTACCAGATCAAATGTACCATAAGCCTAAACCTAACCTTTGAGGGATCTGAACACTAGAAAAAAAATCTTTACACCCCAATAAAAATTTTTAGTGCAAAAGGTGATGACAACGTTCATTAATCGATCTCATTAAATTCATAAATAATTCAAATTTGTGAACAGGCAAAGAAATTCAGAACCATGAAAATTCTAAATACAGAAAAAAAACCGAACTTCTTTTAAAGCTAAAACCCTCTTAATGTTCATTGTATGGTTGCATATTTCTGACCTCATATGGCAAGATTAATTATGTTAGCATGCAAGAAACTTATGTCTACATGCAAGATAATAAGGTACACAGGCACGTTACAATTTTTTAAAAGGAGAATCTGATTATAACATGGGTAAAATCATGCACGTAAGCCCGAATCTGTCATCATATCTTTTAGCATATGTCTGCCCTTTACGGGCATGGTAAAAAAGTAGACTTGCAATATCTTTTTGTCAACATGCAACTTAATTATATTGACTTGCAAGTAACCAACCTTAAATGAAAATATAATTTAAATATGGTTTCAAGTACTTACTAACGCCTGTATCTGACATCGTAGGTGAAGATGGACGATAATTATGTGGCCCCACAGTCAGGGGTTCTAGTGCTAAGGTAGAGCTATATAGATTATATTGTAAAATGCATTATTTCTTTGAAAATCTTATATATTATATTATATAAGCTAACTAAATACATAGATGTTATAAGAAAGAATGCATCATCCAGAATTGTGAATACTATGGCTCCAAAGTCGGGGGTTCTGGTGTAAGGGCGGGGCTTTAAAAGATTTTTTAGTTTCTGATTAACAATATCTGTGTGGTCTTTGAAGATAAGGTCTTTAAACAATCTATTTGAATTCTGATTGGCACCAATTGCGCTCTGCTATTAACAGACCTATTTTTTTATTCATATGAATCAGAATTCGCGCAAAAACTTATACGTAAAGAGAAGAAAACACTCGATGGGGTCTACAACTCGACATTAAGATAGATCGACTACGTACTGTAAAGAGACCACAGAGTATGACACATCTGCTTTATACTTGAATATTTTACTTGCAAAAGACGTTGATGGTAATCTAACACCCAAACACTATGATATACGTGATAACTTTAACTTTTCCGTAGTCAACTTCCTTTACTTATGCAGCAATATACCTTCATCACCTGCATATGGAGTTTATACCTCTCAGATAATTCGATACAAATTCCCTACGTATGAATAATTTCTAAAACGATGTAAAATATTGATATATTGACAATAAAGACGATGAAACAAGAATATCAGCAATGTCATTTAAAGGCATCATTTCATGAATTCTATGGTTGATACAATTACCTTGTTTGCAAATAAAATTTACCATTGAGTTAAAAGCTGACTGACGTTTTGCAAACTAATTGTCAGCCATTAATTATACACTGAATTGATGACGGATTGTTCCGTTATTTCCCGATAATGACGGAGAGCACACGGCGAGTGTGATCAGTCGACAGGGGATGTTCAATCCTCCATGGCATCTGATCCCACTTCTGATATTTAGAGGTCCGTGTTTGCTCCTATTATGTATTGTTATATGGACTTTTTATGTTGAATACTGTTCGTTATCTTCATATGCTTCATTGCAGATAACGATATACATGATTAAGTCTTTTGGGTCAATTTAAGATTATTGTAAGAAAAAAAATGTAGACATTACAAGTTTAATATAACTATATTTTAAACAGTATATACTTATGAAATATTTTTGTTAATGGACTAAAATTAAAATGTACCATTGAATTTAAAAAAACCTTAAGTGTGTTTATATTTCATATGTTCCCTATATATGACTCTATTTGAAATAACATGCATTAAAACACAGATTAAAGTAAATGTTTATTTTTTAAAAATTACGTATTTATGATTTTATTTTGAATAAGATGTACTAAAGCACAAATTAATTATTTTTTTATAAAGTGTGCTTTATACAAGTGTGCTGAATAAATAATACTTAATTTCATTACAACACGTATTGGTAACAATCCTCTGTTTAAACTAATGTTCAAATAACTGTATCTCACTTCTATTCCCAATGACCGTGCAGTGTAGGGCAGCGCAGCGAGATTTCCATCTGCATTCGAAAGCAAGTTTTTTACTTGCCTAGATAGCCGAGCTGTCAAGCGCGCTGTTCCTACACTGCTAGCAGACAGATTCTCAAGGTCAAGAGTTCAAACCCAGGCTGGGGCGGAGGTGGGTATCCATGTAAAAGGTGAATGTCTTTGTGCTTTTTATATAATATTTCTTCACTTGTGCAGTTATGTTAGTTGTTGTAAAATGTGCTTTATAAATATATAATTGGCCACTGCTTTGATATATTAACCACTGGCATAAGGGATTAGAAAGGATCTCTTAAAATTTAATTACAGTACATGTACTTGACAATTATATAGAAATTGAAATAAGGGCCCATAGAGATGAATTTCATACTATTAATATAAAAATAGATAAGATAATGAGTATAAGTTTATTTTAGTGGAAGGCAAACACCAAGCAGTTTCATCTGAATAGTTGGTATCCGTAAAACCCAAAATAAAATATACAATTAAAACATGATCAAAGTTTACCATTAACAATGTTGATAGAGCATTAGAAAAAGTAAAGAAAATGCTGTAAGAATCGGAACAAATTAAAGGAGACACTAGAAAACCACATTAAATTATCTTTGTTAAAAGCGATTTTTTAAAAAATCAGAGACATAAATAATAGGTATCATGCAAATATAATAAGACAAATCTTTGATTATCAATTCTGTCGAAAGATTATGAATTATGCTCTTTAGAAAAAAATGACCCAATTTGAAGTTTAAAAAGAGAGAAAACGAGAAAAGAAAATTTCATCTCTGAAATTTCAATTGCTGTATATTTTTAAATATTTACATTAATAAGCTGTTTTATCTTCGTTGGTTTAATTGATTTAATTACCATTTCCGTGTATACTGACGCTCAGAAATATGTTTGGAAACGTGCTTTAACGTGACGTCACAATAAGGCTACAGAGATAAAAATAAAGGGCAGCGAGAAATTCAAACATTCATTATATTTTTGGTGTCTTTAGACATGCAAATTGTAAACCAAAGAGAATGTTTTAAAGTTTTGTGTTCGTAATTGGTTTGAAGATCACACAAAATAGCACGTAGGCATATTTTTCATTAAGTGCTAGCGCGCTTAAAATTAGGGTCCATCCTCCTTGTTCCGTAGTTTAAATGCATTATACTTCATTTGGTTGAACATTTTTAAAAGATACACCGCCTGCCGGCCTGGAACTTCAAATCACACTTCAAAACACGGGAATTGAACATGTAAAACTAGTGAAAATTAATGAATTTCCAGGATCTTTGTTATTGTTATAACACTTTTACATGTACATGTAGGATAGTTGGCATCTTTTTGTACAAGCTTACATCAAATTTACATACAATTTACTAGGGTTGTCCAAAAAGTTCGTGGACAATGCCGATTTTGTTAAAATAAATGGTTCTTTATATATCTAATGTAACGTTTCTGGTTATACAGTGGTTTTTGAAATACAGTGTATTCTCTCTCCACTTTTACGGGTACGTTACAAAAATTACGCCTGATTCTCTTATTTCTGAAATTTACCCAATCAATAAGAAACGATTGTAATTTTCTATAAATTTATTAAAAATCAATAAAAACAGATAAAACAGCTTAAAAGTCAGGAATTTACTAAAATATGGGCAAAAGCAACAAAAAGTGGCCAAAACTGGGAAAACTAGGCGTTTTACTCACAAAATGGGTATTTTACCCGTAAAATGGGTGTTTTACCCATTTTACGGTGAGTTTACGCAGGAAAAGCATGGGGACCCAAAATCACTGGGTTTGTAATGGCATCAGCCTACCCAACCATATGGTACAAAATGTACCTATGGGTAGAGTACCAGTCTGATGGGCACTAAAGGCACCATGCCTGGTTGAGCAGCGCAAGCACTACTGGCCATTTTCTCTTGGAGAGTTTATTATATACCTTTTGGTTGGTAGGTGCGAAATACTCCACGCGCGAATAACGTGCGGTGCCGCCATTTTTCGCGCGACATTTGTCAACAACTTTGCACCAAGTAAACAAGTCTCTAAAAAGTATTACAAACGCTGGAAAAGGATGAATAATTGGTTGGGAATTACTTTGGAGATGATGCCAAGTTGATTTTGAGTTACATCAGTAAAATAACAATGCCAGGCGGCCATTTGTTATCACCATAGGATTAATCAATTGTGGAAATTCGGGTTTGTACTATACAACCAAAC